GATAGATAGATAGATAGATAGATAGATAGATAGATAGATAGATAGATCCTTAGTGCTCTCTGAGCTTGGTCGTTTTCCTGTAGACATTTCATTTCCAAACCAGGTAACATCATCACTGGTTAATGAAATGTTTGCAAAAAATCAACCAAGCTTAGTGTACACCAAGGACCCCAGAGTCTACCTACTGTTCCTGCTCTTCCTCCTCTCCACATACCTCATTTCCTCCTAGCACTGATGATGTTGTCTAGTTGGTTCATGAAATGTCTGCAAGAAAACCACCAACTCAGAGAGCACCAAGACCCCCTCATTTCAACCCTGAGCTATAAATATTCTCCTCTATAGATATTTTTACAAATTATTCTGAACGTGAAAACAATAAAGCAGGTTCATAATTGTACTGTTCTGTTGTTTTATATAGCTGTATTCGAGTATTGGTCTAGCAAAGGTTTTGCATGCGTATTTGTATGCGTATACAGATGAGTGTATACAGCTCATCTGTCTGGAATCTGCACTGTATATCAGACATTAATACAATTGAGCGAGTCCAGAAGTATTTCACGAGAAGAGTATTACACTCCTCTGCTTGCAACAGAATACCTTACATCACCAGGGTTGAAATTTTGGGCTTGGACAACCTTGAACTACGCCGCCTATGATTGGACTTAAGCGTAGTACACAAAATGATCTGCTACAATGTCCTACCTGTCAATGACTACTTCAGCTTCAACCGCAACAATACAAGAGCACACAACAGATACAAACTCAATGTAAACCGCTCCAAACTTGATTGCAGAAAGTATGACTTCAGCAACAGAGTGGTCAATGCCTGGAATGCACTAGTTAGCCATTCAGTATTATCGGAGGAGAAGCTCCGTAAGATTAGATTGACAATGAACTGTGGTGTCCTTGCAAGTGTTGGTCAATTTAACTCATTGTTCTGTTCCTTCTTAGGAGCTCCTTAAACCAGAAGATGGCCTTGGAAGCATACGGCAAAGAAGGTCCATTGTTGCACCTTCAATCTTAATTCCTGAAAATCAGAGACCCCCCTTTCCAAAACTTGTAGGCAAGGTAAGTAGTAAAGCCTACTCCGATCTTAAATTTAGCAGATTGCTGGTAGTTTGTAAACTCCTCCTTTGAAAGTTGTCTTTCTTTCCTGTGTTCGTCCTTAAGTATAATCAAAGAGACTTGTTTAGATATCTAAAGCATGAACTCCTATACATTTCTCTTCTTCCCAGTTTCTTTTTCAGTTTTGAAGTTTGATCCAGTAAATGTTCCCTGCAAATTCAATTCACTAGAAATCTCCTTTTTTTCCCCCCGGGGTATGTTACACCCAATTTTTACATATCTCATTGTATATACATAATTTCTTGCAGTTTTTACAAAAGTGGCAAGAAATTATATTTAAAATAATATGTGTTTTGGCACATCTGCTGCTCATCAGTTAGTAGTTAACATATATTTCAGATGTGTACAGTAGTCCATGACTTACACCACTTTATTTAGTGACCGTTTAAAGTTACAACAGCACTGAAAAAAAGGGACTCATATTTATGACAGTTGCAGTGTCCAGGGGTCATATGATCCGTTTTTATGTCCTTCTGACAAGCAAAACAGAACAGAATAACAGAGTTGGAAGGGACCTTTTGGGTCATCTAGTCCAACCCCCTGCTTAAGCAGGAGACCCTACGCCAAAGCCAATTCAACCAGATTCACTTAACAACCGCAGGTCTAATTTAACAACTGCAAGAAAGGTCCTAAAATGAGGCAAAACTCACTTAACAACTGTCTCACTTAGCAACAGAAATTTGGATCTCAACTATGGTCGTAAGTTCGAAGACTGCCTGTATCTCATGCTGAATCCTTGCATTTCCATAATGAGGGGAACAGAGAAACATCTCAAATCCTAGAGTGGATAATAGCTGTCAGTCTGCATGCATAATGCTGAGCTAAGCAGGGCATTCTGTATCTGGCAATTTCGTATGTCCCCATTCCTAAAAATCCATTTTGATCTGATTGAACATCTATGCAACAAACAACTTTTGCGAAGTGTTTTACCAGCATCTAAATGCATATTCATCAAGGCAGCCAAAAAAGCAATATTGATATGATTGCATAAGGTGACTGAATTGTTCTTTCATGTACATTTCTGCCATCTGCGTGAGCTGAGCATTTGAGAATTTTCTGTGCAGAAAGAATGAATGGAGGTTGGCATTTTGCTGAAATTATGAATGTTACCGAATGCGCCTTCATATGTTTGCATTGCAAAAGAGGAACCGATGATGGAGAAGAAAATTTGGCTTGAATGTCAAGATTAATTTGAAAAAAAATAATCTTCCAGATCAATTGGGATTCAGAAGAAAGACTGGACAATAAAAGAAACCATGAAAGGAAAGGGAGAAATCGGATCCACTCTCTGTAGTAATAGAGAAGCTTGAAATTTTGTGAATATTGATTCATGAATGGTAGAAGAAAGATCACTTTGATGGAAAGAAATGAGTTTTGACACAAACTCTGTATCACAATACTCCTTCCTAAATCTGAAGCCAAATTCAGCAGGAAAGCCATATCCTCTCTAAAGCAGAATAATAAGAGTTGGAAGGGAATTTGGAGGTCTTCTAGCCCAACCCCTGCTCAGACAGGAGAGACTATACCATTCCAGACAAATTCTTGTCCAATCTCTTCTTAAAAACTTCCAGTGATGGAGCAGCCACAACTTCTGGAGGCAAGTTGTTCCACTGATTAATTGTGAATTAATCCCCATGACGATGCTGCTACAATCATAAGTGTGAACAATGGTCACAGGTCTCTTTTTTCAGTGCCGTTATAACTTTGAATGGTCATTAAATGAATAGTTGTAAGTTAAGGCCTACCTGTATCATCAATCTCTTGTTTTCTCCTTGAATCAGGGGTGTCCAACCTTGGCAACTTTAAGCATTGTGTCTTAAGGTAACTGTTGTAACTTTGAACGTTCACTAAATGAAAGATTGTAAGTCAAGGACTACCTGTAGTTAAGTGGTTGTAAGGTTTTTTTTTAATGCCATAGTTAGTAACTTTGAATGTTTACTGAATGAATGGTTGTAAGTCAAGGCTTACCTATATATATTAATTTGGTGAGATTTGGAATCAAACTCACTTTTTTTCCAGAAAAGATTGGCTCAGTTTCAGTTACTGCTCTTCATTTTTCATGGAAAATAAATATGACATCCAAATGATTAACTGTAGGGGTCTGATTGAATGAACTCTAGACTAGGAAGGTGTGCCACCAACCTCGTTTGGGTAATGAGAGAATTACCAGGGTTGGAGGCTCTGGGGCTGTAATCTCCAAAGAAAGACAGAGAACAAAATATTCACCGGTGAACCCGGCACTCGAGTGTAATAAAAATGTAATATTGAGTGTTATTAAACTTGTTCTCTATAAGGGCAAACACAACAGGGCTGATCAATGAAATGCTATAATGAGTTCTAGTCATCAGGTCAGAGTGGGGAAAATGAATGAGCGGAAACATCCCTTTTTTTTTTCAGGAAAAAGTGATTTGTTCTAGGAAAGCTACAATCTGCTGTCAATTTGTGTTTGTGGCTGTTGTCACCATGTGTGTAGCAAGAAGGAGTAAAGATGGAGCATCTCATTGTTTCTAGGCAGGTGGCAACATGGTGAAGATCCTGGGTGGGGTTTGTACATAGTTAAAGATGGGTTTTTTTTAGAGTCTGTAGCAATAGGACGATGATCTTGCAATTGCCACATGCCTACAGTGATAAGGGACACTGATGGATCAGTTGGTTGGTTGGTTGGTTGACTGACTGACTGACTGATTGATTGATTATGTGCCATGAAGTGTTTGTCAACTCTTAGTATTTACATAGATTGGGGTTTTGTCCCATAACAATCTGTGCTCAATTTGTTTCTTCAGATCTTCCAATGGTTGCCACCATTATCTATGTAACTGAATGCATCTACCTTGCTTCTGGTTCTTCTTCTCTTTCCTTCCACTTTTTCTAGCAACAGGCCTTCTCCAGAAAGCTGGGTCTGAAGTAGGATAGTTTGAGCCTGGTCTTTAGAGCTTTGAGTGAGAATGTTGAGTTTATTTCTTGGGTGATTCCTTGCTTACTTTGGGGGAATGAGATTGTAAATCCATCATTGGTTTTGTGATTTTCTACTCAGTGACTCACTTAACGACTAAATGGAGAGAGAGGTCGTAAATCCATCACTGGTTCTGTGATTTTCTACTTAATGATCTCTTTGTTTAGCGATAGTCTCAATTGTGATTGCTAAATGAGGACCTACCTGTATGTTTAGAAACCTTGCTGATCGCTACACCCTCTCCCAATAGTAACTGTGAACGTCCAGCTCAAACCGTGCATTTTTATGAAACATTTTCAAGCAGCGTCTGGCAAACCCGATATGCTTGAGTGCTCTGCTAGTCGAGACTGGGGTGACAAAACATTGCATGGCCGAATCTTACACGAGTACCTGATTTGTGCCTGCAATTTCCTCACTAATAAGCCCTCACTAATAAACAGATGATATTTCCTGACAGTGCCAGGACTAATTTGCAACTGCCTTGATGAACCATATCAGTGCATCAAATCAAGGATTGCTGCCAATATTTATCTCCTTTGAAATGCCGTCATCTGGAAGGAGAAAGGGGAAAAAAATAAATCCTAACCTTTTGTTTTGCTTGCTTCCTGAGAAGGGAAGTCAGAAGTGTGAGTCATTTTAACTCCTTCAAGGTCAAAAGGGTTGTTTATTTGGTGTGTGCTATTGTAGTACAAATATCACATGATGGAGGAATGTGGTACTCAAATGTACTACTTCTACCCAGTTTGATGAAATGATTGATAGGTAGATAAGTAGATGGATGGATGGATGGATGGATGGATGGATGGATGGATGGATGGATGGATAGATAGATAGATAGATAGATAGATAGATAGATAGATAGATAGATAGATGATAGGTAGGTAGGTAGGAAGGTAGGCAGGTAGGTAGGTAGGTAGGTAGGTAGATGGATGGATGGGTGGGTGGGTGGGTGGGTAGGTGGGTGGGTGGATGGGTGGGTGGGTAGATGGATGGAATAGATGATAGAAAAATAATAGAGAGAGATAGAGAAAGCAAGACAGAGACAGAGACAGGAGAGAGCAAAAAAGAAAGAAAGAAAGAAAGAAAGAAAGAAAGAAAGAAAGAAAGAAA